CCCACACACACACACACACACGCATCCATCCCTGGTTGTTTTATCGATTTTTGGTCGTCCCAGGGTCGAAAGATGGCGGACCTCGAAGCAGTGCTCGCCGATGTCAGTTATTTGATGGCGATGGAGAAGAGCAAATCTACTCCAGCGGCCAGGGCGAGCAAGAAGATCATCCTCCCGGAGCCCAGGTAAAAAAAGCACCTTTTTAAACAGCAGCTTTATGTGTGCATGCATGTTAACGGATGGATGTGTTTTTGTGTGCACGCTATGCAGCCATATAGGGAGATGGAGGCGTGCTTCCTCCCCCCAAAAACCCCTCTCTCACTTACAGTAGATGCTCAAATATGATTCCTTGTAAACATGCTGCAACTTCATGATGATCACCCCCAAAAACCCCCATGCCTGACTTCACCAGCATGTTATTCCTCTCATCTAACTTACGGAGAAGTTAACTGGTGTGCATGTTCAGCAGCTACATGCACAACATGTCACCATATTGTCTTCTTTTGTTCTCTCTGATCGATACCAATACATGTCCTGTTCATGTCAGTATGTGATCATAGATACAACACATTTCTGGAGGCTGCAGTCTGTGCTGTTGTTGCCCCCCCCCTCTCTCTTTGATGCAGTTGCACTGTCACTATGTGCAGCTCTTGATGCTGTAAACCTCTGCACATCTGAGCTGTTTGCAAAGAACCCAGCGTGAGCAGGTCTTCAGAGACTACATCTAGAATCTGATTAAATACCCCCCCCCCCCTCCAACATGTACACATCACTGCACACCCTTTCGTCCCTGCAGCTACGCAGCATGTCGGCCTTGGATGTGTCTCTTTTTACGGGCCTGCAGCGAGCAGCTTGATTGAAGAGGATGTGGTTAAGATTTGGTTATTGAAATGGTTTGTTTTACATACAGAGACCTTCACAGAAACCATTTGGGTTTTTAGTCAAATGATCACCGTTGTGTGTGTGTGTGTGTGTGTGTGTGTGTGTGTGTGTGACCGCTGTCAGGTTGGATTAGTGCTCGTGGTGTTTTGCATTCATGACCTCGTACTTCAACATTTATTAATCGCCAACTGAAAACCCTTCTTCACACGCCCACATGTGTAAACAGAGTGGCTCCACACTTCAAAGTGCTGATGTGGGTTAAACATCCATTTATATTTAAACCTTTCTGTTGTTGTTTGGAGGAGGTCAGCTGGTCGCTTACTGACTGACTTGTGTTGGCAGATCAGCAGAAAGCGACGGTCCAGACGGTGCGTTACAGTCGTGGATATGAATCGAAGGGGAGCTAATTAAACGTGACACCCTGTTAGATCGATTGATGATGTGTGAGTTTAGAAAGATTTAAAAGCAGAAATGCTCTGCTTAAGGAAACACGTTGACCTCCAGTGTTTATCAAACTGTCTATCTTAACCTCGGACGTCTCACTAGATATAATCATTATTTAATAATAAGTCCAACGCGTATCAATCACAACATCTCAGTGTTCCTCTTTTAGATCATACGTCACGTCAGGGTTCTAGCCCGTTAGCTTCTATCGACATTAGCTTCACGCTACCGCTAAACATTTGTGTATTTTTATTTTTTTTTTTCTCCTCATTCAAGTTGGTAAATGTGGGTTTCCTTCCTCCTCATCGGTTTCAGTTTGTGTCAGTTTGGTTTTAAAAAAACTCAACGTGCAGTAAACGTTTAAATAATGTGTAACTGTGAGCTGGTCCTCTGCACGTTCTAACAAACAACTTTCTTGCGTTGGTCACAAGTGACACAAGTAAACAGCTGACGTCAAACAGAAGCTGTGTGTTTAGTCATATTTATGCATATTTAATATGCTGCAAAAGCTGTTTTTTAAAGGTTCCTATGAACGTCTAAAGACGTTTCTATTGGTCACTGGGTCTGTGATTTAAAAAAACGTCTTTGAAGCCTGTCTGCCGTCAATATTAATATTTTAACTCATAGCTTTAAATAGTAATTGAGTCTATTATGTAAATATTGAGACGGTAAGTGTGATTTTGGTAATATTAAATTTTTTACTTCAAAGTGTGATCGGTAAACCCAACAAATCTAAATTATGGTAAAAAACAAATACAGTACGATAGGTCAGAATTTACTCTTTGCTAAGTCCCGCCCCTCAAAAAGCAGACTGGCCAATTGTATAGATCTGGAGCTCGTCGTGGTTAAATGTTGCGTCACGGTGATGCTCGTTGGGGTGGAAGAAGAGCTACGTTAGCGTTGCATTAGCTAGCGTTGGCATGTCTACGCTACGCTAGCTACCGGAGGTCTACTGAATGTATTTGTTTCTTCATTGCAGTGTCTTCTGTCTGTCTTCACTTTCAGAAAACTAGATGATGTTTATTTGGGGAGTGCAGTTAGTGACAGTGTGGTCTCCAAGGGGGCGGGGCTTATCAAAGAGTAAATTGGACCGGGAAGTCTGTAAATCTACAATAAATAGACAAACTTTTGTTGAATCAGCTGATTGCTGACGTTTCTCGTCTTGTTGGAGGACGGAGACCTGTGACATCACGATGGCCAACCTATAGAGATGCTAAGCTAGCCTTTAGCATTGTTAGCCTTATGCCAAACGATCAAAACAAAAGAGGTCTTTACGTCTCTCTCCTGTTGACCAGCAGCTCTGTGCGTTGAACACAAACCAACCAGCCAACAGTCAGTAAAGCTGGAGTAGAGATGATGTCCAGAAGGACAGAAGGAGAAACATCATGAAGGACTTGGAGATCAACAGGTTTCTGGAGATGAACACATATCTAAGAGAGAAGCTGTTTGAAGGAATGAAAGAGGTCCAACAAGTCCTCCAGCTTAGCAGCAATATGGTCTTGAGTGCAAAAAAACAGAATATCTGGTGAACGTACTCATTGATTGTCTGCTGTGTGAACAATAAATAACCGATCAATTAATGAATGATTTGTAAAATATAAAATATTTGGTTTTTAAATCAAGCATTAAGAAACAGTGTTTAAATCTAATGATTTAAACACCCGAACAATTTGAAGACCCAGTGAGCTATTAGACCCGTGTTAAACTCTTCTAAAAGACACAAAGTGAACACCAGGTGATGTCGGATAGATTATTGATAGATTATTGATCTGTTGTTAAATTCAGGCTGTGTGTCTTTGTCTCGTTTGACAGCAAAAACTTTCTTTCTAATCGAGTCCGCTGCTCCTCATCAGATGTTCAGACAAGAACCCGGGTTGCGAAACATCGACGCTGGAATTTAATCTGAGGATTTAGAACCACGAGGCTCCGACGCTTCTAAAGACAACAGCAGGTTATAAGACTGATCGTCAGGTGATCAAGAGGAGAAGCATGTAGTCACTGAGATCACCTGATGAAGCTCTGGTACTGGTTAACCTTCCCATCACATTTTACTCTCTGTGGTCTTGATTTTCACTTCAAAATAAAAGTCCTGCTCCTCTATGGAAACAGAACCATCAAGACTAGAAATAGAGAGAACTAGAACATGTCTTTAGTGCAGAATAACAGTTATAACGATATAATTCATCTCTAATATCTGTTTTATATTCATGTGAAAACGGTGCTGCTAACGTTACTAGCTCTCCTCCTGTTGGTTAGCCGTTAG